CGCGGCCAAAAAAGCCTTAAAACCTTTAAAGCCTCGTATGACTCTAACGTAAGCTGCTTAATAATTTAATTCTGGTTGGAATCTGGCATGATTGGAATGGATGGGATTATCACGTTCGGGGACTAATGCGGCAGGTTCAGCGGGGGTTAGCCAGCGTAACATGGTCATGAAAGCCGGTGGCATGTACGTGGAGAGTAATTAAATGTACCAGAGAAAAGAAAGGAGTCGCTCGGAGTTAGTAATTAGCACAAACGAGAAGTTCGGTTTGAGTGCGTCTTGGGTTTTTTTTCTCTCTGAGAGTCACCGAGGCTTCAAGCAAAAGAAATTGTGCAGCAGTTGTGAAGGATTGTCTGGGTGTGTGAACGCACTGATGAGACTACTGCTTCATTTGTAATAAAGGAACTCTATTCACTTCTTCTGCCTCCATCTTCACCTGCTGGCTCCTTTAAACTTGGAGCTTTTCCCAACACGTCACAGTTTTCACTTTCAAAATCCAATTTCGTCCAAAACACAAATGCAGTTTAAGTGTGCAGAGACTTTGCTGGTACTTGAACAGAACAGGAGTCAATCTATTTTCCCCCTTCGAGGTCTTTTTTTGTGAACTGGAGCCCAAAACGAAGCCACGGTCGCGCTCTCGTTCTGCTCCCGTTGGTGGTCTTGGCCTCCGCCGAGCGTCGAACTCCGGCTCATATTTTACCACCTTTTTAGCTTCCCTGCTCGAGTGTCGCCATGTTTTTTTTTTCTTCTTCTTCTTTTTTCTCCCCCCTCCTCCACGCTGAGCGACCGCAGCACAAGGCGTCACTCATCTGCTCATGAGTGCAGCCATTGACTCCGGTTTGACTCCTGGAGCTCTGAGGAGGAGGAGGAGGGAGAAGGTTGAGACGGGGTGGAGCCCAGCCGCTCTGAAAAAAAAAAAAAAACGTTTGCCAGCGTCGAGCGGGCGGCCTGGTCTGTGTTACCACGCAACTGCAAAAAGCACACTCAGGCATAATATTTACACTGTTACATTATTTTCCGCATGCGCCTCCAAGAGAGAGTGTAAGACAGAGGAGGGAGAAGAAGAAGGAGGAGGAGGAGGATATTCTAAACCTACAAACGTATATAATCTGTGAATGGCTGTGTGGGGTTAAATGTTGGTGAACCTCCTCTGCACATTTTCCAGGTGATGTGAAGTGTTCCACCGCTGCAAAAAGGCCTCCTTGTTGACATCACTCGCCGACCTCTTTCCGTGGAGTTCGGCGGCGGCGGCACATTTCCACTTAAACCGTGGAGGTCGTCCCCGTTGGCCCGTGGAGACTCCTGCCTATCGATGCGTAGCAGGTTCTCTGTTCTCGCCTCGCCGGGCCGAGCCGCTCGGTCCTCCTCCTCCTCCTCCTCCTCCTCCTCAGCAGCTTCTGAATCTGTCGAGTTAGTATCTGTCTGCTCTCCAGCCACACCTGGTTTGAATTACTACGCAAAATTTACCCTCCGACTCTCCGGGGATGGATCGCTTTTGAGTGGAACCAATTTCAGAGGTGCAAAAAAGAAAAAAGTTTGTCTGCCCTCGCTGTGAGCACGGAGAAAAGAAAATGCTTTAAAGAAACTTCACCGAACACCCTGTTTCTAGCATTCCCGCCGTTATTGATTATTAATTTGTTCAGCAATCTCGCAGAAACTGAAGAAAATCCGTCCTTCTGCTGCTTTCTGCTGTCAAATGACTGTTTTTCTGAGTCTCGTCTGCTCTGCATCAACCGGTATGTCATTAATAAAAGGAGGTTAAAGTTGCTTTACCATTTTAGATGTTTGCTTTTCATATCATGAATGAGAATGCTGCTTTAGGTGGATGGTTTTTTTAGATTTAAGAACTGAAACTACATGGATTGGTTTTGGAAAAATCACGATTTTTCTACGATAACCAACCAAGAAAACCAACCAACCAACCAAACCAAGTAATTATGGTGCATAAACGTTACCAAGCTTATTAACTTTGATAGTGAAGTTTCACCAAATGCTTCCCGACACTAAATCAACCCATTTATGGTTCCACTATGGCCTTTGAAACTGGAAGTCTTTCCTGCGGTTTTAACTTTCGGGAAGAAAATGTGTTTTTCTCGAACCATAAATGAGAAACAACAATAATTCTTCATCAATTTGTTCAGCAATCTTGCATCTTGAGAATTAGAAAATCCATTTTCATCTCAGTTTTACTCTTCGTTGCTGTCGAAAGACTGTTTCTCTGCCAGTCTCGATTGCTCTGCATCAACCGGTATGCAATTAATAGAAGGAGGTTAAAGCTGCATTCTCGTTTTAGATGTTCGCTTTTCAAATCATAAATGAGAATGCTGCTTTAGGTGGATGGTTTTCTAGATTTAGCCACTGAAACTACATGGACAGGTTTTGGAAAAATCATAGGTTTTCTTCGATAACTAGCTGAGAACGTGTAGGAGAAGCTCAGACGTGCTATTTCCAACCAAACCAAGTAATGTTGATGCATAAACGTAACTGGATTTCTGACATTATTAACTATTGTAGTGGAAGTTTCAACCAAACGTTTCCCACAGTGGCCTTCCAAACTGGAAGTCTTTTTTACAACGTCACGGTTTTAACTTTTGGGGAGAAAATATGCTTTTCTTGAAACATAGGAGAGAAAAAAAGAATCATTATTCATCAATTTGTTCAGCAATCTTGCATCTTGAGAATAAGAAAATCCATCTCAGTTTTACTTCTTGTTGCTGTCGAGACATTATTCCACCAAGCTTCCAGCATTATTAGTTGTTATTGGGAAAATTTCAACCAAACTATAATGTTTTCTGAAACTGATCCAACCGATTTATGGTCCCACTATGGCCTTTGAAACTAGAAATCTTTCGTACAACATCACGGTTTTAACCTTTGGGGAGAAAATATGCTTTTCTTAAAACATAAGAGAGAAAAAAAAGAATCATTATTCATCAATTTGTTCAGCAATCTTGCATCTTGAGAATAAGAAAATCCATCGCTCTCTACTTCTTACATCTCAGTTTTACTTCTTGTTGGTGTTGAGACGTTATTCCACCAAGTTTCTAACATTATTAGTTATTATTGTGAAAGTTTTAACTAAACCAAGACATTTTTGTTCTGAAACCAAAGCGTGAGTGAAAATTGAAAGCAAGCAACAAGTGAAAAATTAACTTAAGTCTCAGAATATTGGTCCTACATGGGCCTGTGAACCTGGAAGTCTTTCCTTCAAACACAAGTGAGAAATAAGAATCGTTGTGTATTTAGTAATCTTGCATCTTGAGCTGTCTGCTGCTGGCCGCTGTGGGCACGCATCATCCAGACGTTTGCTCAGTGTCAAAGGACTGGTTTTTCTTTTTCTTTCCTGCGAGTCGCGTCTGCTCTGCATCAAGCAGCGTGCAATTAATAAAAGGAGGTTAACGTCGCATTATCGTTTCAGATGTTTGCTCGAGAGGGTTTGCACCTCTGCAAACACGCTCAGCACAAAGCCCGGTGTTTACCGACCGGCCGGCTCTGTGATGTTTTACGCTGAAGAATATCAAAGGAGGGAACAGATCGGACTCTGGTTTACTCGGGACGGAGCGCTCGTTGTACAAACAGAAGGAATGTTTGTTGGCCAAAGGAGCGTTTGTCCCTATTTTTAGCGCTTGTTGTCAGAGCTTTTGTATTCGTATTCGCACCTAGTTTCACATCAACTTTGCTGTTCTTCCATTAAGAACAGATGATGTATAAAATCCTCCGAGAGCGGCGTGTGATTCTGAATCGCATAAACAAGGCTGTCATCGCTAATGGGAAAACGCTAAACGAGCGCTTGTGTGTTGCTCGTCTAACAGCACTACAAATGTGACACCGAATTCCCTCCGAAGATTTCTTCAAACATAATTCAGATGTGTTGTCAAATCACTGGTTTTTAAAACAAAGTGCTTTCTAGTAAAAAAAGAAAAAAAAGACCTTGTAGTGTTATTTTAGGTGTGATTTTACTCGAATTAGTCACATATTAGGGATTAAAAACCTACAAATAATGCATAGAATGCCACTGATATACTACTTATATATCATAATACTGTATGTCTGACTATAATAACTATTAAATCTGAGACCCTACAGTGTTATTAATTTATTACTAATTACAAGGTTGGTGGTTCAATCCCAACCATTGGTTACCTGAATAGTTGACATATAATTAAAACCCAACAAAAGTCATAGAAAATACAACTAATCTAGTACTTAAAGAGCATCCTTTTACCTGACTGTAGTATACATTGAAGCCAAGACACTACAGTGTTAATAATTATTGAGGATTATTGTACTAGTGGATGGTAAAGCTGGTTTCTTCTCTAATCGCAAGGTTGGTGGTTCAATCCCAACCACTGGTTACCTGAATAGTTGACATATTGGGGATTAAAACCCTACAAAAGTTAGAGAAAATAATACTGAGAGAACATACTTATAATTAAATATGATAGATATGAAAGCTGGGACCCTACATTGTTAAGAATTAATCAACAATTTCCCTGAGGTCTGCACCAAAGGGATCAATAAAGTTCTATTCTATTCTATTCTATTCTATTCCATTATTGAGAATAATCAAGGTAATGGATGGTGAAGCTGATTGTCCACAAGGTTGGTAGTTCAATCCCAACCATTGGTTACCTGAATAGTTGACATATTAGGCATTAAAACTCAACAAAAGTCATAGAAAATACAACTAATATAGTACTTAAATAGCATCCTTTTACCTGACTATAGTATACATTGAAGCCAAGACCCTACAGTGTTAATATTTATTGAGAAGTATTGAACTCTTGGATGGTAAAGCTGGTTGGTCGCTAATTGCAAAGTTAGTGGTTCAATCCCAACCTGAATAATTGACATTTTAGGGATTAAAACCCTACAAAAGTTATAGAAAATACTATTTATATAACACTAAGCTTTGTATTTTTTTTTTAATCTGTTATTGTGCAAAACTAGTGATATATATATATATATATACTGAATATTCTCCTCTCTGTCTCCCTCTACAGCTGAGGCACCAGCAGTGGAGCCTGGTGATGGAGAGCGCCGTGCCGTCGGATCGGGGGAACTACACCTGCGTGGTGCAGAACAAGTACGGCGCCATCAGCCACACCTACCAGCTGGATGTTCTGGGTAAACATTTAACTTTCAGCTCATCGTCTGTGCAAACATCGAATAAATTAGCGCGCACGAGTGGGTTAAGAACCTGCAAGTGTTGCTGAATGCGTACGTGTCCTGCAGCATCATCATTACCGTGCATGACCTTCTTCTTCTTCTTTCCCTCCTCAGAGCGTTCGCCCCACAGGCCCATCCTCCAGGCGGGCCTCCCAGCCAATCAGACGGTGGTGGTGGGCAGCGACGTGGAGTTCCACTGTAAGGTCTACAGCGACGCCCAGCCGCACATCCAGTGGCTGAAGCACATCGAGGTGAACGGCAGCCGCTACGGCCCCGACGGCGTCCCCTACGTCAACATCCTCAAGGTGGGTGTGCAGCCTGCTTCCTCTCCCCCTCTGTTTCTAATGAGTCTGCCTGGAGTAGATTTCAGCCGACGATAATTTCACTCATAATTAATCTCTCCTAAATGCCTTGTTTAATGAGCTTTTACAGTAGGTGGGTCTGCGGGCCCCGCGGGCTCTTTTTACTGCAGCGTTTAATTGAGGAGCTCATTCCTCGAACGCTGTACCTTCACTACGGGGGGAGAAAAGCTTCACCTGCAACACACTGCAGCACACAGACATGTGTACTCAATGACTGGATGGTATCACTATGAATCGTTTCCAAAATGAGGTACCTTCAGTTTATTCTGCTGTTGTCCTGAACAATTATTGCAACTGGTGAAGATGGATACGATTAAATTAAAATATCATTTAAGGGGGATTTTGTTTTTGTCAAGAGGGACTTTTTCAGTTTTCTTGCATTTCAAACTTCCACCAGAAGAAATAAAATATAGTTCAACACACACTGTAAAAAAACAAACAAAAAAGCTGTTTTGTGGTTGCTGGGATGCCAAAAAAAATACTATAAAATAACCATCTCATAAAAATACAAGAATTTTCCCCAATTAAAATATGTTTTCCTCCTTCATTTCACAAGAAATTTATGTGTAGTTTATTTTTTTATTTTTTTTTACTTCGGAATAATAAAAAAGACTAATGATGCATAATAAAATTGTGAGTGCATATGTAATTTTTTTTATGATTATGTTTAGAGTATCAAAAATGAATTTAACAGTTTTATATTTTAAGAAAATATTGTGATAAATTTTAAAACATATTTTTACGTCCCAGTTTTTGTTTTTTGTTTTTTTTTTAAAATGCAAATTGCATGGTCATTTACAGTTACCAGCTTTTAATTATTGTAGTTATCTTACATTAGACACATAGATTTATTTGGGTAATTTAATTGATATTTTTGTGCATTTTAGAAAATAAAATAAAAGAATATTTTACAAGTAGTTTAACCAAACAATCAACCAGGCGTCTTTTACTGGTTACACTGATATTACACTGAATATTTTAGAAATAAGCAGATATGAGAGAAGAAATACATACACGTGCTGGAAAATATTTATTGTTTCATTTATTATTACTGAACTAAATCTGCTCTTTTATCTTAACATTAACTCCACCAGACATATTGCAAAATCCACATTTGCTTAAACTCGGAAAAGGAGATTAAAGTCGTCATGTTTTATTCTCGATGTGACAGATTTACAATCAGCACATGGAGATGGTTTTCCTTCTGTAAAATCTATATTTTCTCATAGCATTACTGGAAAGAAAAAGATTATACTTTTAAAATCGTGTTGTCTCAAGTAGATAAACACGAGCTGATCCCATCACTTCTTGTGCTTTTCGCTTATTGAATTTTCCTGAAAAAATAACAGACAAAAACCGACGTCTTGAGCTTCAGTTCGACCCAAGAAGAAAAACAAAATAGTTAACAGAAGCAATAACAGATAAAACCCAGATAAAAGCACAAATCCACCTTAGAGGTTATCTGTTTGAACGTTTCATTTGGTACTTGTTGCTGATGTTGGGAATGAACTCTTCAATCACACCGACTGCAGATGTGCAGATGTTCCACGTGCAACAATATTCTGTGTTTTTAGTTGCCTCTCGTCTGGTTTTGTTTGTCTGCAGCCTTTGCGGTTGCTCCGCTGCAGCATCTTGTCGCTCGTCGAGAGGGTTTTTCAATCACAGGCGCTCCCTCGTGAAATCAAGGTTAAATAAACGCAGCGGGGAAGGCGTCAGATAGTCTTAGGAGGTCTCCTCGCCTCCCCAGACAGCGTTGGTGTTCAAGAATAGAGTCAAAAACATTCCTCGCCAGCAGAGGACAACACCCTAAACCCACTGTGGGGCGTGTTTTTTTTTTGTGATTCGGGGTGAACAGAGGAAGACTCCCATTGAAAAACCAAGAGCTTTCTCATTTGGCCTCCCCCCCCTCCTCTCTTTTCTTTCTGCCTCCAGAGAGAGAGAGGAGAGAGAGGGAATAAAACAAACATCTGGTTTGGACTAAGTTAACTGCTGTGGTGGCGGCAATGCAGGCAGAGAGACGGGCTCTGTTAACCGCCGCTGCCGTCAGATGTGCTGCGTCGCGTGGTTTCAGGAGGAGGAGGAGGAGAGAGGGAAGAGGCACCCAAAAAAGCCATGGAAAAAATGAGTGGAGGGAACACAAGGAAGGGCAAAGTCAGCAGGGAGAGCGAGGGAGTGTGACAGAGCGGCGGGTTAAGATGGAGGGCGAGAGGGAGGGAGAACAGGGAGGCAGGAATAAGATGTGAAATCGAGAGACAGAGACGACCGAGCGAAAGGTGAAGGAGACGGGAAGAGAAGTCCGACCTTCTCTCCTGAGCTGATGGATTTTTAACTTTCAAACTCGCTATTTTCAGAACAATATCAACAGAAAAGGCTGCAGTCGTGATGGATAATTTTGCAGACGAAGCCTCAGATAATAAGCTTCTTGGGTGCGGAGGTTAGCCAGGGCCTCGGCTTCAGCAGATTCTTTTTTGAATGAAGTATAATATAATATTTAGAATATAAAACCAGCTTTTCTCTGATGTTCCAAAGTGAAAACATCTGTGACAACACATTAAAAATAGTAGTTTAAGTACCTTTTATTCACTTGCTACAGCATAGCTAAGGGTAGCTGGTGGCCCAAAACAGCGCTGATTGAATATTAAAATTCCCAATATTGCATAATTAAGCAAACAGACGGAAACATCCATTAAATGTTATTTTCATTCTGCATAAGAAGTAAGAATTAAATGACAAGTTTTCCGAGAAGGAAGAGAAAAAAATCCTCTGAACCCTAAGAACCTCCACCATGTTTATCTTTTTAATAAATCTCCCAAATTGCACCATTTATCAGAACCAAAAACTCTAAAAACAGAAAGAATCTATCCCGACAGTCCCTGAACTTCTCATCTGAGATGTGCCGTTTCATCAGAGAAAAAAAACAAACACTTTATTCTACATGATGATTTAAAAATCTGCAAAAAAAATACCGTTTGGACTAAACAAATTCTGTAAAAAACAAAAAATTCTGCACTTCTTGTCAGATACATGAAGCAATGAGTGACTAAGCTGCCAACAACAGTCACATGACAAAAATTGAGGAAAGTTTTGGCTGAACTGCAGGCAGTGTATAATGTAACAACATGTTGATTCCAGGTTTTTTTCCTAAAATAGTTAAATAAATACTCAAGAAATTCCACTTTCGTTATGTTTTTTCATTATTTGTAGCATCGCTCTCTCTCCTTCTAATAAAGTGCTGTTTCCATAGAGATGCAGGACTTTATAATATATATATGTAAAAGTTCAGAGGGTTGCAAATCACTTTTAGTTTATTTACTCCTTTGTTTGCTTGCTGCAGCTTCAACATGAACATTGAAGCATTTTATTCAACTTTGAAGCAAAAGATGAGTATGTACATTGTCCGGCACGTTTAAGGAAGGCGCATAAATGAGAAAACTTTGAAAACAGGGTTAAAATAGGGAGATAAAAGGCAGACGGAGTGAGAAGGAGAGGCCGCCAGAAAGAGACAGAAAGGGGGAAAGCAGCTCTGTCAGCCCAGACTGCGGCTCCACGCTCTATTTTCAACTACCACATAATTGAAACAGTATTTACTGAGATTTGTGTGCGCCTCCCTCCCTCCCCTCTGTCACTCTCTTCTGGGCCCACCACAGTTCATTCAGCGTGATATGCTCTCTCATGTGTGGCATATATACTGTAGGAGTTAAATGCAGGAGGAGGAGGAGGGGGTCATGCATGCTAGATTTTTATATTTTTTTTTGAGAAACGCCTGAATCGCTCTTTTGATGCCTGGAAAAAGAGTTAACGATGAGCGACTCGCCCTGCGTGGGGAGGCGTCTGGAGCCGAGCCCTGGATGTTCATTAAGCAACTATAAAACATGATATGTTTTCTCCTTTATGTGCTTTCGCCCGTTTAATAATTCAGAGGCAGTTTCTTCGGCGGAGAAGCGAGCGGCGTGTGTTTACTGTACTAAACTGACAACGCTGTGGTGGCTTTAATCCACCTACAGTGTAGCGCAAAGGATGCAAAGTGTGGTGTTGTTGTTGTTGTTGTGTGTTTCAGATGTTACAGGTTGTGCTTTTAATCCCACAAACAGACAGCTTGTGTCAGTGCACCTCCATCACGTTTGTGCATCACAGTGAGTCTGCAGCCAGAGGCCAGAGTTAGCTTAGCTTAGCATAAAGACTGGAAGCGGGGGGAAACTGCTAGCCTTGCTGTCTCCAAGGTTCTAAAAAGTGCTTATTCTTAACATGCAAAACAGATAAGCAGGTATCAGCGCAACAAAATACAGCAACTGGCAACGCACTTCCCTGGCTACACCTGTCCAATCAAACACACGACCTGCTCCATCATAAACCCTCACTTTTACGACGCCTATAATTTTTCTTGACACTGAGAGGTTGTAAATCAATTCTGTGTTTGTGCCTTGAGCTCATGGTGATTTCGTTGAGAGGTGTTTGCAATATCTCACACACTCCGCCGCGGCGACGATAAACTTTTAATTGCACGTTGCCGAGAACGTCAACAGGAACCGAACAGTGTATGAACCTGGTTGAGGTGGGATTGGTGGCGGAGCTGCTGTGTTGAATTTGCAATAAAGTGAGTGTGATAATGAGGAAGTGTTGCTGTGCATTCCAGTGTGTGTTTCCATTTACAGGTTTGCATGTAAAGCCCTTTTCAGACATGAGATATGCAACACTGCTGCATCAACAATCTTCTAAAATGGACATGGGTCGGTTTTATGTTCAAATAACTGTCTAAATAGCTAATAATCTAATTATTTATGATCCTCCAAATGCTGAAAATGCTGTCAATGTGTTATAATAATCTAGCTAATGCATTGAACTCTCACTCATGTGGATCCTGCTGCTGTTGGATGCTGCAGTTATTAATAAAGTCAGAGGAAATTTTACAAAAGAAATGGGAGCGACAAGCTAAACTTCAGCTCCTGTTAGTCAAATAGTTAACCTGTTAGATTCTGTTTTCTTCACAGTAAAGTTGTATTTTTATGGACTTTGTAGGTTGTAATAGGTGTGAAATTGTGAAAAAGTCTCTTCAAATTGCTTCACACAATTCAAATAAGGCCGTACTTCAGGCTTGTGCTGTGTTACAAGTGGAATATTACCAGGTCTGACCTCGTAATGTTGCCAGTTTTTATGAAAAAGTTCATTAACAGGAGGGAGTGCATGTCTGAAAAGGGTTTATTTTCTCACAGTGTGTTCTTGCAGGATCCGTGAAGGCCTCACTGAGCCTCTCATTTTTCCCTTTGCAGAGCGTTATCAGTGAACGCACTGAGGCCCACAGTAAGTTGAAACTGTCCAACGTGACAGAGAAAGACGCCGGGAAGTACTGGTGTCGCGCCTCAAACTTTGTAGGCAAGTCGGAAAACGCTTTCTGGCTTAAGATACACAACCCAGGTAAATCCTGAGCTCCGAGCGAGAACCGCCTTCGCCTCCTCTGACTCCTCGTTTCTGCATTGCTCCTCTTGGTTGTGGGTTCGCTAATAGATTCCTTAGATAAATCCACACTCTCCTCTTCTGAGTTCAAGTGCTCACGTTTCGTTTGCTGATGGCGATCATCCATTTTAACTCCCGGTGCCACTTTCTCTTCCTCCCCGATCGATAACAAACACACAGTATTGCACCATTAATTACCGCCATGACTTCAAAAGTCTCACCCGCAAACACCTTTACACAAAAAAAAAAACACTCAGACGTAGGCTACATAAAAGCCCCTCTGACCAAACCACCCACACTCACAGAGCAGTATTGATTTCTCCGGGAGTGCATTCTCCAGCTATATTAATGTGCTTTTATATGAAAGCATGCAGCAGGACTCTGATTCATAACTGGGTCTGGATGTCAATGTTCATTACCGAGGCTTGGAGAGCAAGTCCTCCACCTCTCCCTTCGACCGAGCCACATCAGACACCGGCTTTGAAACGAGCTCCCCCACTGGTCATCACACCAATCATTAGTCAAAGGAGAGAAAAACCACAACTGCAGGGATGCTCTTTTTAAGTTTATTTATAAGAAACGGCGCTGGGAGGGATGGTAGGTTATTGCACTGAATGTAAGTTTGTTCAGCTGGAGCAACATTTTGATAATTATATCTTCCGTCGGTGAACTAAAATTTTAACAACAATGGTTAAATGGCTGCACAGACCTTGGTGTTTATTTGATTTTTAGTAGTGGACCCAGAATAGATCCTTGAGGCACTCCGAGAAAAAAAAAAAAGACACAAATGGTTTTCTGTCAAGTATGCAGCCAAAAAACACTAAAGCGCAGGAGGTCTGAAAACAAAGAACACTTCTGCTTACTCGCTGTGATTTCTGCAGACGAGACATTGTGGTGAAGGGATCTGGTTTGCTTTTGCATCAGGTGGAGTGTACGCCGGTTCAATTTAAGGTCACGGGTGATGTTGCAAGTGACAGAAAATTCCCTCGTAGTTGAAAAGCCTTTTCTAATCGAGCAGTTTTTGTCTGGAAAGGCCAATTCATGGTTTCCACAGTGCAGACTTGGAACAAAGATAGCATCTGATGGACACCTTGCCCCTCATACAGGGTACAATAACATTTAGATTTATTCAGAGGATAGTGCAAACATGTAGGGAACATCAGTAGAACATAATTTACCTAAATGTTGATATTGCACAGATTCTTCTGAATATGGAAAACAACAATATTGCACGTATCTATATGTTGAACAACAATGGAAAGGCACAGATTCTTTCATGAGTAGAATTACTGACATGAGGAACACTGCATACTGCATAGATTCCTCTCTCAGTACAAAACACGGATATTCCAGAGATTCTTGCATATGTAGAAAATTTGTGTAGTGTTTTTTTAATGTACAAAACAGGCTGTATTCAATGGAGAAAAACACACACAACTTCTGTGGACATTTCTTCAAGACTGTGGTTTTGCCTTTTTCTTTTTTTTTTTACAAGATATAGCAGCTACTTACAGATTGGGCTGAAGCACCAAGTTAATTACTGTTTCTGAGGTGTGCCAAGACCGGTGGGCGGAAATAGCACGAGACGGCTGGAGATTTTAGAACCTCCATCTGTGTTTGGGAACCGCCGACAAATCAAAACATCTCCAAAGTCCAGCAGTGACTACTTCAACTGCAGCTCTGTTAATTAGGAATTGAAAAGGTGTGGATGTCGAAGAATCTCCTTTCATTAGAACAAGCATTTGATTTGTACTCTGGTCACAAATTGTTGGGCTGCACATGACCACAGAGGGGATGAAACTTCCGTCCATTTCCATGTTAAATCAAACCACTGCACTGGAATCTAGAGACAACCTGAAACTACAAGTTCATTTATATCTAAAAGCGCCCGTGGCCTTCAGTTGAACCGGTGAGCTTCTTTCGGTGATGGTGCTGCTTGGGTGTTTTTCAGGTGTCAGCGGAAAGGAAACTTCAAATCCTCCGTCCTGTCCTTTATCTCCAGGGCGTATTTGGTGTTTCCTCTAATAAGCTTTTGGGCTCACGATATCTCTCTTCTCCCTCTTCCTCCTCTCTTATCCCCACTTCTCATCCTCCACAGACGGCCGGTATTAACACTACAGATAAGGAGCTAGAGGTGCTCTTCTTGACCAATGTGTCTTTTGAGGATGCGGGCGAGTACACTTGTCTGGCAGGGAACTCTATCGGCTATGCTTACCACTCTGCTTGGCTGACGGTGCTTCCAGGTATATTCCTCTTCACACTCCGGGTCTCCGATATCTTGTCATTTTTCTTCTCACCTACATTACAAACTCCACCAAACCATAATTGCGACTGCACTCTTTTGACAGTTTCACGTTTTGCTCAGTGGCACAACACTGAAACGTTCATTTCCAAACCTAATTATCTTGCATTATCGCAGATTGCTACTTGTTAACACGCTTTTAAGCGCGTCGAAAGTGTGTCATCACCCCTTTAATTGAACGAACCGAACATGCGATCCGTCCCCTCGCCGGGAGACGCTTTTTAATCAGAGCAGATCGTCTGTTTATGTGTCTCAAGGCTACGAGGCAATTTAAAGACGTTTCTGTGTTCGCTGTTCAAGACAATAATTACCTCCCCGGGGAGAAGCATATCACAGGTGCAATTACCTGCTGTGGGATAAAACTACAAGCTGATTATTTTGCTGTCTCAACTCAGAAAGTGAATGCACACTTTACAACTTTCAGATCTGATGCTGTGTTGATTTATGGACATTATTTCATGGAAAACGACCCCTCAAATCAATTCGGGTGAAACGTGCTACTGAGCAAAACAACTTCATCATAACTGAGAGAAAAAAAAATGTTATCAAGTGTGAATTTTGACTGACTTTTTGCATGTTTTTGAAGCAGTGAGTCCGGAGAAAGAGGACTACTACGCCGACATCCTCATCTACGTGACGGGCTGCGTGCTCTTCATCCTCGCCGTGGTCATCGTCATCCTCTGCCGCATGAGGATGACCACCCAGAAGACCCTGCCGACGCCTCCCGTGCAAAAGCTGTCAAAGTTCCCCCTCAAGAGACAGGTAACAGAAAGTAGATACAAGATTCGTACAACACTTTCCCCTCTTTTTCACTCTCCTCGTCTATTTATTGTAGTTTAGCTTTGCAGTCGTTGCCACAGTCGTCTTTGTCTCTGAAAGAAGAAGTGCATGCAGGACTGGACTCACGCAAGCTGGAGCATAAGTAAATAGAGACAGTTATTGCACGTCTATCTGTCGTGGATCTTTCGCCGTCCCGCTGTTTTAATGACGCTGTGCGGACGCTGGAAGGCATCACACTGGTGACATGTGTTCACATTTATCTTGGAGCAGATTCAGCTCAGGGATATTTATGCCCTCCTGTGACTGTCAGTGTTAGTTTTAGATTTCACTCTCTGTGTAACACAAACTCGGCCCTCAACTGTTTGGGGAGAAACATAAAGTGGAGCAGCTGCAACTCCGCGGCCTGCAGAAGTGAAGAGCTCCTCTCGCCCGTCGTGTCTTCGGGCTGCGTTCAAGTCCGAGTTCAAGCAGAATATCTACAAAGATCAGGCCAATCATATTCAGTTTAAGACTAAAGTGATAACAAGTTTGCTTATTCGCTTTGCTGACGAGAGCTCAGAATGAGAAGATTGGGGAAACGAAGCCACACAACATCAGAGTTGCACAATCAGTATTCATATATGTTTAAACAAGTCAAACAGAATGTAATTTAAGGCAACATCACAGTCAAAAGTAAGAATATAACAATGGTAAAATGGCTTCTCAAACCTTGGTGTTTATGTGAATTTAATTCTAAAAGACAAAAAGTGATCCCAGAATAGATCCTTGAGGCACTCTGAGGAGAAAAACATACAAATGGCTTTCTGTCAAATATACAGACACAAAGCAGAGGTACAGAAAGTACAGGAAGTCTAAAAACAAACAACGGTTTTGCCTAATTTCACAATATCAGAGTTGCACAATCCATATTCAGACATGTTCAAACAAATCCAGTTACCAGACAGATGATCATTTAAGGCAATATCAAAGGTAATATTAAGAATATAATGGAACAAAAATGGCAAAATGGCTTTACAAACTTCGGTGTTTAAGTAAATATAATTCTAAAAAAAAATAGTGGACCCAATATAGATCTTTGAGGCAATCCAATTAGAAAATGACGAATGGTTTTCTGTTAAATATAAAGCCAAAAACACTGAATCTCACAATATCAGAGTTGGACAATCAATCATAAGTCCAGTAATTACACATATTACGATGATATGAAGACAGAGTAAACATGCAGAATATACCACAATATGAAGCTAGCACTAGCAACTGCTTAGCTTAGCTCAGCATAAAGACTTGCAGGAAACAACCAACCTGACTCTTAGCAAAGGTAGCAAAACGTACCACCAATAGTCAACAACAGACTTGATTCTTTACATTAAAGACATTTGATGTCATTTGATGAGACATCTGGATTTTTAGCTTATATTTGTTTTGGGGTTTTTTTTTTATGGAAAGACACGTCACAGATGAGTAGTTCAAGGAAAGTTTAAAATCTTACGATTCATTCTGTTTTTGCAGTTTCAGGCTCTCATAAATCAATTTTGGGGCTCAGAGGGTTAACTTTGCAAGATGTTGGTTTGTGCTTTCCAGACAGACGAGGAAAAAACGGAGTCAACAACCATCAGTGGCTAGAAAAACACAAGTCTGAGTCAAAAAAAGACATGTCCAAGAAGGGAAAAAGGCTTTCTGAAGTCCTGACTCGACTAATCTTCCTTGTAGGCTGTCCTGACTAATTAACCAGCCGCTGTTCACTCCATTACAAGAATTCTATATGAGGATCTCTTTCTGTTCTTTTTTTAAATGTTTTAAGTAGTCTGCAGAATACTATCGAGCAGTGCAGCGTAGCTCAATTATTTTGCCTCTTGCAGTAGTTGTAATCCAGGCACCGTCGCACATCTTGTTCTTGCGTTCTGTTTGCAAAGATCGCCTGAATTTCTGCGCCGTCGATGAGTTTGTCATTATCCGTCCGACCCCGCCCTGCCGGACTCCCGCTGTGAGCAGGACAGGGCCGCTGTGTGGCTGTTCGGAGCAAATTCCAGCTTTCCAGCTTCATAATTAAAGGGTTGCGCTCCTCGAGATGCAAAAAGATACATTTTTAGAAAAGAAAACTATGACCTGAAAGTCGTAATTCAGTTCTTGGAAAACGAACACACGACTTTTAAACCCAAAGTGAGGCTCTCGCTGTGAGGGTTGTAAAATAGCGTGTTTGTCCTTGTTACATAAAGAGGTCTTGTTAGGTTATATCAAGTTGAAAGCTCATCTTTTGAAAGATCCCCTAATTGTAGCCTCTAAAGCTTTTCTATTTCTGCTACCTTCATATAACTGGTCTTATAAGGTAGTGCAGGGAAAGTTCTTATTGCATTTTTCTGTAATCTTTGCTTCGTTTTTGTAAAGCTAATCTCCAGGTTCTCTCCTTTCTTTTTCATAACTCTGAGTAAATCTCCTGTAAACCTCCTGGCATGTTCTATCAGATATTACTTTTCATGCCTCTGAAATTGTGGTCAGGGCTTTTGCTTTCTTTTTTTTTTTTTTTTTTTTTTTGGGCTTCACAGCATTTTTCTCATTTTCCTCCAGTCGAGGAGTCTGGTAAGTGGACATGTTTGTTTCAGGACCCCACCTGAAGGGGCCGAGCTGGCCGACTCTGACATAAACAGATCTATCAAAAAGCTGGCCGGAGCCATCAGCCAGATAAATGGTGGGAGGATGTCGAGCCCACGGGCCCAGCGGCACGACCGGCCGATCTGGAAATGGAGCTTGTTGATGGATAGAGACGTCCATCCACACCTCGCCGCTCGCTCGCCCACCTCTGCATCCTCCTTCATTCGTCTTTGTTACCTCCCGCCTCCTCCTGTGCGAAGCCACGGGCCGGCTGTTTGTAAAAGTCACTGCCGGTGTCAGAAGTCCGGCTGTTTTTCAGGGAAACTGAGCGATGACGCTGCTCCTGAGATGTGTGATGTTCGCTGCCAAAGAGAGAGCTCCATCTGGATTAGTTATTTTATCATTTATTCACCCAGTAAATGGGTTTTTTACATTTCAAATCAAGGTTAACTTGCGACTGTTTTGAATCTGTGGAAGCATTTTTCTGTTTATTTTCCGAGACAAAGTGTTTTTTCAATGAGGAATTTGCTTTAATTAAGACGCTGGCTTCGTCTTGGTTAACAGAAATCAATTAGAGTTTTTAGCATAGCTAAACAAATTGAAAATTCAGCTTGTAATGATTTTAATTTCAATAAAGTGGCAAGGACTTTTAATTAAACTGTTCAGGTGAGGCCTTTTGCTCCAAGAACATCAAACCTACTGTCAAGCATGGTGGTGACAGTATCATGCTCTGGGGCTGTTTTGCTTACGGTGGAACTGGAGCTTTACACAAAGTGAATAGAATAATGAAGAAGGAGGATTACCTCCACATTCTTCAGTAAAGCCCAAAATCATCTGTCAGATGGTTGCTCTTGGATGCAGTTTGGTGTTCCAGCAAGACAACAACCCCAAAAACACATCAAACGCGGTAAAGAAATGGTTCAACCAGGACAGAATTAAGGTTTACGACTGGTGTCCTCAAAGTCCTGACTTAAACCCCATCAAGAACCTGTGGACTGTTATGAAGAAACAAGTCTGTGTGGAACCAACTCTGTCAAGAGGAGGGTCAACAAACAACCAGAAGCTTGACAGAAGCTTGTAGACGGCTAGTTGAAGTGAAAATGGCCAAAGGGACATTTAACCCAATATTAGACTTGCTGTATGTATACTTTCACCCAGCACATTTTGTCAAATTTCCAGAAGACCTATAATAAATATATGAAACAATCAAATTAATCAATTCAGAGCAGAAATCATCAAAAACTTACATTACAAATATGTGACAAATTAAATTTCCTTCCAGTCAAATATTAGATTTAGTGTTTAGCTCACTGTCAGACTTTCTCTTCTTCCTTCTGTCTTCTTGTTTCAACACACATCACTTTGCTCTTTTCAGAGACTATAACAGTTTCTTTTTGCACCCAAGCAGGTGTCCTTGGATTCCAACTCGTCCATGAACTCCAACACTCCGCTGGTCAGGATCGCCCGGCTGTCATCCAGCGACGGACCGATGCTCGCCAACGTCTCGGAGCTCGAGCTGCCCTCCGACCCCAAGTGGGAGTTTCCTCGAACGAGGTAAGAAGAAAACGACATCGTGCAACATCCTTGTAGCTTCCTTTGCACAAATTTATCTCATCAAAAATACAGATGTCTGTACAGTAGTCTGTATATAAAAGATGGATGTAGACTCTGGATCTGGAAAGTTAAGCATAAAACCTGCATTCTGTCCAACAGCCAGCAGGGGGCGACTGTTACAGTTGCAAAAAGAAGTCCAGTTGTACAAATGTCTATGAGAGAATGGCTCAACTTCTCACTTGATTTGCTACCTCAGTACACATTTTTTTAATGAATTTTTGGGCCCTCAATTCTACCAGCACAATATATTCTTGCAACATTGTGAATTGAGGCAAAATCAACACGTTTTTGCAACTTTTCTGCTGCTCGGTGCAAAAAGAATACTCACACAGTTCTCAATTTCACTCACTAATCCACAAGAGAAGTCCTGAACACAACATAATTTACTCCAATTTACACTGAATTACAGATTTTTATTTAAAAGACGCTCCATTTGTTGACATGCAGGCTCCACATGAACGAGGACCAAGAGAAAAACACTAACAAATAGGAAGATTTGGTTGCGAAATGAAACACAACAAAATGTTTCAGCTACAAAAAGGATGGCATTGACCCAAGCATGTACTTTGTTGGCAGTGTCTTGCGATTGTTGCCACAACACAAGACAACAGAACTAATTTGTTTGGTCTGAATGCCAGCCAAAGAAAATACCACTTTGCATACCTTTATCAGTGTTACACTAGATGAGAAAGGTTGCAAAAAGTACAAAAAGATAACAGTAAAAAGTAGCTTCTAAGCCTTTTTAGAAATAAATTTTGGATGCAGATGCAAAAAAAATACCCCAATCTTCAAGAACTATTAATTCCTTAAAGATAATTGTTCAAGTCAGCTGGTGAAAATTCATGTATTTTCAGTATTTTGTGTACTATATGTCTTGCAGAAAGACAAATGTCACAGAGTCTGGTTTTTCCAATATCACCAAACTCAAAGCTTCACAACAGTAGTGTGCACGCCAGTGGTTTACAACACAGTGGCTCCATCCATCTTTTATATAATGTCCACAGTCTGTAAAGAGACATAAACAAACCTCAACTCCCAGCTCTAAAGTCGTCTTGCCTTTGTTTCAGGCTCACTCTGGGGAAACCTCTGGGAGAGGGCTGCTTCGGGCAGGTGGTCATGGCCGAGGCCGTCGGCATCGACAAGGAGAAGCCCAACAAGCCGCTGACTGTCGCTGTGAAAATGCTGAAAGGTTAGTCATCGGCGTGGCTGCAATCCAGGAATTAATGCACGATCTCTGCAGCGACGGCGGTGCCGCTGCGTTTGGTGATTTCCTGAAGGAAATCAGCAGGATTGTGCCTTTTGTGCTTCATTTTTCTCACACATTCACTCGGTCTCTCTACATAATAATCTGCTGAGTTCGTCTGGACTTGTCTTTGTTCTCTCTTATCTGTGTTTTTGTCCTTTTGTGTCTCCGAACTATTCATTACAAGAGAGGCACTTCATCAGTACAAATGGCCCTCTGCGGTGCCGTTCTGATCCGGCTTTACGTTCTCATTCTCTCGCCTCAGATGACGCCACGGATAAAGATTTGTCAGACCTGGTGTCGGAAATGGAGATGATGAAGATGATTGGGAAACACAAAAACATTATCAACCTGCTCGGAGCGTGCACGCAGGACGGTGAGGCTGCGGCGAAGTCTAGATTGTTTTAACGCTGGAATAAACCGTGTCCTGAAAGTGATTCTATTGTCGGTGCTGCCTTCAGGTCCGCTGTACGTCCTGGTGGAATACGCCTCCAAAGGTAACCTGAGGGAGTACCTGCGGGCGAGGCGGCCGCCGGGCATGGACTACTCCTTCGACACCTGCAAAATCCCCGATGAGCAGCTCACTTTCAAAGACCTGGTGTCTTGCGCCTACCAGGTTGCCCGAGGCATGGAGTACCTCGCCTCGCAGAAGGTCAGCCACATACATGCTGTGCTGCTTCAACTTAAATATTATCCCAAAGTAAAGAGAAAGAGAAGGATGCTTTGCTATAGGAAGTTTTGTTTCTTTTGCATGCTAGACGAGGCCAACACACTTTACGTTCAGTGTAGTAAATACCATTTTATTTGCATTTTATGTGCATCCTTTTGAAATCAAATCACGGTAACATTATGGTTGACCCGTTGTAGTGAGGTTTTGGTGTGTTTGAACTGAGTTGTGGGCTAAATATAGAAATAGGAATGTGTCTAAGTGAGGTAAACTGTTTGAGATGGTTCAAAGCATGACAAAATCAAAAAGTAAAGTTCATTAAAGGTTATCAAGAGGTTTTGTAGTTGGGGTAAAGGCAAATATTAGCCATGAGGATCTTTGTGTGGCGATATTCACTCAAGTGCATTGTATTCTGTCGAATGTGCGCTTAAAGTGTTTGTATTTCCTCCCTCCAGTGCATCCACAGAGACCTGGCAGCCAGAAACGTCCTTGTCACGGAGGACAACGTAATGAAGATCGCCGACTTCGGCCTCGCCAGAGACGTGCACAATATAGACTACTACAAAAAGACCACAAACGTGAGTCCCATTCCATCTGCGGGCTTCTCTGTGAGGGAAATAATGCCTGTTTTAAGTTGTGGGACGGGATTGCGTCGGCTACAGCAGAGCATTACGCACTCAGTGGCTCTTCAGTTTCATTCATCTTTTCAATGTCACAGTCAGGTCACAGAAGGAAAGTACAACACAACTCCAAATTGGATTAGTTTTTAATGGGCTAAATATGTGACTGAATGCTTTCATGCTGACAATATGAAGCTGTTTTATTGAAAGCTACTCGTGGCTATGATTGGATTTCAAAAGCTGCATTGAATGTCTGTTTCCTTATTTGACCCGATAGCTGCTGATCTGATCTTTGTCTGTTGCATTAGGTTTAAGTTGCTTCTGTTTAGTCTGAGCAAATACAGTTGTGAGCAAAAGTGCACTTGCCGGTGTCAGTATCTGTCGAGCCAGTCAAACTTTTCCTCTTGAAACAGCACCTTAAGGCTCAACTGTAGTTTGCTGCTGATCACAAGGACAAAGAAAAAAGCCTTCTGGAGGAAAGTTCTGGTCAGATAAAACTAAAATTTAGCTGTTTGACCACAATGACTGGAAATAGGTTTGGGGAAGAAAAGATGAGGCCTTTAACCCCAAGAACACTGAACCCACCATCAAGCATGGTGGTGGCAGCATCATGCTGTGGGGTTGTTTTGCTGCCAGGGGAACTGGTGCTTTACGAAAAGTAAAGGAAGTAAAGTGAAGGAAAACCTAAAACCAACAGCCAGAAGGTTGGATCTTGGATATAGTTGGGTTTTCCAACAAGACAATGAGCCACAACATACACCAAAAATGGTAAAGAGATAGTTAAATCAGGATAGAATTAAGGTTTTAGACTGGTCTTCCCAAAGTCCTGACTTAAACCATCAAGAACCTGTGGACTGTGATGAAGAAACATGTTAGAAAGACAAGTTGAGATGAACTGCACCAATTCTGTTAAAGGAGTGGTCAATGGTACAACCAGAAGCTTGAAAGAAGCTTACCAAAAGCGCCTAACTGAGCTGAAAATGGCCAATATATGTATATCTTGACCCAGCAAGAACCAAAATGGGTTTCAATTGTTCCATTATAGAAAATTAAGAGTTATATGAGTCATTGGAAACTCAATACTATATATACGTGGTCTTTACAAGTGTATGTTAACTTGTATGGTTGTCCTTTAGCGATATTTCCACAGCAGCCACTCGATGAACTTCACCAGTTGACTTTGTCTGTTTGGGTTCATATTTTGCCGTCTGCTGTGTACAGAACGGTTCTGCTGACTTGCGGTTCTGTTGTGTTTCTCTTCTTTCAGGGCCGTCTGCCCGTGAAATGGATGGCTCCGGAGGCTCTGTTCGACCGGGTCTACACGCACCAGAGCGATGTGTGAGTTTGCACAAACCAACCGTCGCATGCCGACCGTCCACTCATGTGTGGCTGCTGTACACCGGAGGAATCTGGGTGCTGAAATATCATGACTGAGCGCGTTAGCATCAAGCGCATGTGAATACAGAATCGCGGCGTTCCCCTCTCCAAACATCTCCCGCTCGCTGTCGACTCCGCCCGCCCGATAATCCCGAGTTTCTTGCGTATCGACGGCTTCGCATTCCTCGGCGCGTTTGTTCTTTAATCTCCCGACGCGACATCAGAGGTGGAAAGAAACACAGCGGTAGCTCCAACGTCCTACCGTTGTTTTGTCAGCGCAAATCCAACCTGCTCCAGGACAGGCGGAGATAAGAGGGTCGGTGGATTTATCTCAAGGTGTTCCCTCGGGCCGTTTTTTTTTTTTTTCTTTCGGTTTCAAAGGATTCGGAGGAGACTTTTACGACCTCTGATTGCTTCCGCGATCGACAGAATGAAAGGCGAGTTCAGGCGAGGAGGTCACAAAGTCAATCTGTCTTGCAGTAGCCGCCTTTTTAAACCGAATTTCACCCCCCCGCCGGTTAAAGCCAGACGCTGTGTCCCCAGCGCAGCCATCCAAGCCAAACACGGGCCCCTGTCAACACTGGCTCGCCGTGTGATTACACTAGACTGGGAACGGGCCGAGGGGAGAATCAGCCCGCTCTGTTATTTCAGCAGGTCTGGATTACAGAGTCGATCCTCCCGCCAAACCTCCTCCTCCTCCTCCCTTTATACAGTAGTCGCTCTGAAGCCAGTTTACTCTCACACGCCCTGCGGGACTTCGACTTTTGACCCGTGATGGTTTTTTGTTTTTTTCCTGTTCAATTAAAACACATTAAAGCGATGAAACAATGAAACACAGCTGAAAATGACACGAAACCTTCGCAGTTCGTGCAGTTAGGTTCGTTTCAACTTCCCAGCTGCAAATGCGACAACATTTGGGAGCCATTTTTATGGGATTATTTCACACCTCTTTTTTGTGCAGAGAAACTGCGCGCCCTTTAAGTAAATTAACATCATCACATCGAGACAAGATGAATTTACTTTTCAAATTCATTCACCAGCCAGTAAAGCTTTCCTCCTCGCTGCCAAAGTCGGCGAGGTGAGGATTTTATTCTGAGCGGCTTCGAAAGGTGTCGGCCTATAAAAGCGGCGGGGAACAAATCGTACCGCACCTTGGCGGTGACGCACTAGAAGCAGAAAAGGTGGATGAAGTGTGAACTGAAACAAGCTGTTGTATAAACATGTGGAGCTCAAACCTGGAGCTGATGGCGCTGACACAGCAATCGCTTTAATTGGAGAAATCCCTACTAATATGCAATTAATTAAACATTGCGCAGCAGATTATGACGCTGGTGGTCTTTGCTAAGCTTGTAATCAGGAGATCAGCTACCATATAGAGGAGAGCAACATGACTGAAAACTTTGCATTTAGCAGCATGTGCAACACAATACATTTGCTGAGACATTTTTTTCTGCAGAAGAAAGAAGAAAAAAAAAGCTCAACAGTGTCTTGACTGCACATTATCTCCAAAAAACTGTATTAAAATGTCTCCAGGATGGAAACCGCACGACAACAGACTAAATAAATCAAGAAGGGAGGCAGAGCTGCATGTGAAAACGGCGACGACTTGCAGAACTGCTGCTAAAATCAGATGTAAGACAATAAAGTCGCGGTCGATTTCTCCAAACCACCTGGCTCGAACGCGAGGTTCTGCCAGATAATCAGCAACTCTTTTGGCAGCAGCGGCAGACGGAAAGCAGAGAGTGTGCTCATTTAAAAATGAATAATAATGGTGCATTTTTATGTGAGCTACAGATCCACCTTGTGGCTGAATTTAATCTTTAAGCAGCATTGTTCTTCTGTCAGTGTGGAGATATTTGACATCTTTCTTTGTGTAGTTTCAGCGGCTTTTCAACCCACGACAGGAAGAAATATTTGGAACAAAACTAGTCAGATTTGAATTAAATATAAAGTCCTGCAACCTTATAGAAACATCAAAACCAAGGCTAGAAGTAGAGAGAACTCAGTAGAAAATGGTTTCTTTGATTATATATTTTACAAAAAAAATAGAATCAGGATGCACAAGACTCTCAGCTGCCACCAATACAGGAAAAACAAATTGTGGCTCTACATACTAGAGATATTTTACTACTTTTTGCTTTGTGTATGCACAGCCTGCAGTTCAGCCGAAAAGTTCCAGATTTGTTGTCCAGTGACTGTTTTTCACAGCTGAGTCACTAAAGGCTTCAGATTTGCGCCGAGGAACGCAGAATTTTTTGTTTTTTACAGAATGTGGGGACTGCACACACTTTATTTTGGGAGAATTTGTAAATCGTCATTTGTACATGGAGAATCCAACTGCTTTTCAAACCCAACGACGGGTTTCGAAGCTCAGAGCTTTGAGGCCGATCGGTGCAGACTGTACACACCGCTGTACAAATGTTACCGACCAGACGCGTGCCAGGAAAATAAAGCTCAAAGCAAATGATAGTTCAGAGGAGAGGCTATGTGAGGACATTCACACCTTTATAATTAGTCGTTAAAAGAGCTGCGATTGAAGTCGTCGCTGCAGGAGTTTGGACGCGCTTTGATTCGCGGCTACGTGCTTTTCCAAGGTCTGAATTCTCCAGAAATCCTGTGCTATGTCTGTGCAGCTGCTATATTCTGCAAGAAAGTGCAAAGCCTTTTAGAAACACCTACAAGAGTGTATGCTGTGCTTGATATGAGGGACGATGCTTACTTATGCATGAAGTGGCCTTTAAATTCTCCCCTCACGTACACAGAACATCTAAATCTCACAAATCCAAACTCATACTTTGCTGCAGGTGCCACTAAAAAATAAATGCTTGCCCTTTGTTCTGATCCTTAAGGTCGTTCACAGGGTGTTCGTGAACCCATTCCAACCCTAAAAACCTGCTTTGTTTACGCCCAGAACAACCTGAGCTTTATTTTCCCCGTGAATGTTGATGTCTCTCTCTCGGCTCAGGCCCTCAGCGTTCGGACCAGCCGGCTCGGCCAGCAGCGGCTGTTTTTTCCGCCCTCCGGACCGGAGCGAGGATAATTAGATTAAACCCGCTGGGCGCTGCAGCGAGAGGGGGCGTCTCATTCTGATTCACTGGACGAACGGCCCAACAATAGTACGGCGGGTTAATAGGCCGCCCATTATCTGATTACCTTCCCTCATTTTTTAGCCATTTAGGAATAAATGCGGCCGCTCGGTCAAGCTGCTGCCACTGAGGGAGAATGAAAGAGAGATGATGGCTTGGTTTGGAGCCGCCGGAGGTTCTGGGTTGGACGGCAGCTGCACTGTAGATACTGTATAATAAGGTTTTCCATTCATCTTCGGCGCGCCACTTTAGGTGACGTTTCGCAGCCAAATTACAAAGCAAATGCACATAAATTTGAAGCTGTTTGCGTCAACAATGTTCTGGATGCTCGTCTGAGAGTTTTCCGTCCACATCAACACAGCAAACGCGTGATTACACCTCTTTTAATTTGCATGCTTAAAGTCGTTTTTTTTTATTTTCCCATCTGAACTCCAAGCACAGTTTTCCCAACAATTTAAAGTCCTGCACCTCTGTGGAAACACAACAACCCTGGCTAGAGGCAGAGGGAGCTCAGACATGTCTTCTGAGCAGGAAAACAAACTGACACTGAGGAAGACGGTGTGGATATGCGGGTGAATAAAAGGAAAGGTGGTCGGTTTGTCTGAACGTGGCTGCAGATAGTTTCCTGCGTGTTTACTTGTGTGCAGTTGCATCGTTCTGGTTTTTTATTTTGCATGAAGGAGCTGCTCTCAGGGCAGTGTTGTTGTTGTGCATTTAAGAGCTGCTGACAAGATGTTTATCAGTCAGTCTGGCTGTCAGTGAACTCCAGGCAGTTTCTAGGCATTTATTTTGTTCTTTTTTTACATTTTTACTCACTGTGAGCTCATTTTTTCACTGTGATATAAAGTCCTGCACTTTTATGGAAACAGCACAGCCAGGAATAGAAGGAGAGAGAAATTAGAAATGTTTTCTGTGCAGTTATAATGCCATAAATCATACAAAATCAATCAAATTTAAGTTTAATTTATTTGATAATCTGTTTTATTTTATTAATCAACGTGTTCAGCATTTTCTGCAAAGGCTGTTACCTTTTTTTTTTCATTTTAAATAGTGACTTTACATACTAAAGATGTTTTTCTACTTTTATTTTTAATTTATTTCCATACTTGTCTATGTAAACACGGCCTGCAGTTCAACCAAACAGTCTCTACATTTTTGTCATGTGACTATCCATTGCAGCTGAGTCACTCGTGGCTTTTTTGTTGCACAAACGTTTGCAGAACTTTTACTTTTTTTACAGATTTTGATTAAAGCAACCCGCTTATTTTTGACGATTTATTTTCTTTTCTTTTTTTTAAACAGGATTTTTTGATTTGGTTGTGTTGGTTACGTCACCAAGGAGTAGTTCAAGGACAGTTATAAAGTTGTAAATCTGGGCATTCTCTCTGTTTTCACAGTTTCTGGCTCTGATAAATGGTGTGATTGTGTCGATTTTTAAAGATAACATCATTTTAAAACCTGCTGGCAGATTTTAGTCTTCTACAAGCTCATGTCTGTCTGTCAGTGCTGCATATGTAGTAGTTTTACTGCCACATCACAGTGTCAGAGCAGCGACACCAATGCAGAGAGAACGTCTCCTTTGAATGGACTAAAGTCAGGCCAGCTTCATCGCAGCATCAAAGATGCTGTCAGGGAGGTTTTTATTGAATTGATGTAATAAACAGCTGCAAATGTGGCTCAAATCGTCCCAGATTAGGCCGAAAATACTCCATGAAAAGACCAAAACCCACAATTAAATCATGTGTTCTGCTCCTGATATTGATCAAATGCACTGTTTACTCTTCTTCAGTAACATTTGCTGAAAAAACCTCAAGTAAGCAGCTGTTTTAGGAAAGTTTGAGAGGTTTTTGTGCAGCGTTTTTATAGGTTTGCATCCAGGATTTGGGCCTGAGAGCCACAGATGAGGTGGTTTTAGTTCCTTAAAGGCATTTGTTGGCTTTAAAAAGTCTAGAATAACACCTCTGTTTGGCTTTAAAACTGGCTTGTCTCTTGAGAACGAAGCGCTGCATCTAATCACTGATTAACACATTGACAGAAATCATTATTCGGCTCACTTCTGTGCCCGTTTTATTCCTTTCGTGTCTTTTATTTCTTGCTTGGGGGAAGAGATGTTGATTTTCACCAGGATTGACCAGCTGTCTGAGACAATAACAATCTGGAATAGATTTTTAAATTGGGTGCAGTTAACACTATTTAAGATCAATATTCGCCCCCGAACAGATCGATCGGTTTCTGGACGAAGGGAGCTTCCTTCTGAGTTGCTGCTGTTCGACCTGCGATGTGTTTTCAGCGTGTTTTGTGTCTCTGTGCGTTCAGGTGGTCTTACGGGGTTTTGCTGTGGGAGATCTTCACCCTGGGAGGTTCGCCGTACCCGGGAATCCCAGTGGAGGAGCTCTTTAAGCTGCTGAAGGAGGGACATCGGATGGACAAACCTGCCAACTGCACCCATGAACTGTAGGTGTCCGGTTAAATCAGAGTTCAGTGTGTTAGCAGGAAGTTTAAAACAACTAAAATACAGCAAATATACGATTAAATCAACTGTTTTTGGTTACAAATCACAGAAAATGTTTAAAAAATCAACTTTAATCTGCACTAAGGGAGTTCTGTCTGATGTTATTCTGAATATTTTTGTAAATGTAGTTTTATTTTTTTATATATTTTGGAGTGTTTTTATGCACATGTGTATATATATTTTTAAATAGTCTTTCTAACTAACCGTACATCAGCTCTGTGTGAGTTCTGTGTGTTTTTAATATGAAAACTGCTGCTGCAAGATCAAAATCTGAGAATATTTGCTGTGAATATGTCATTTTTATCCAATGAGACGCAGTTAAACCGAACCGTGCCGTTTGGTTTCCAGGTACATGATCATGAGGGAGTGCTGGCACGCCGTGCCGTCGCAGAGGCCGACCTTCAGGCAGCTGGTGGAAGATCACGACCGGGTTTTATCAATGACCTCCACCGATGTGAGTCTCCCTCCACAGCTGCCGTTCAGCACGATAACGGGGATAAAAGCAGGAAAACTACAGCGTTTACGGTTTAGTTTCACCTTGGATCAGTGCAACGTGTTGCTAAAAACACAAGTTCAGATCAACAGCCAAAGAAATCAAGCGTTTAGTTCATCACCTCGACCTGTGTTTCTCATTAACATTTAAGAAATACTTAAACAATGTAGGAAATCCAACCTGTCTATGGGTGTTTTTTACTCACTGTGGGCTCATTTTTAAACACAATATAAAGTCGATTGTTGTTGAGTCATTCTCAGTTGCAATGCTGACAGGAGAGTTTTTAGGTTTTTACACGCTTTGGTTCGATAAACTGCTTGTTTTTGGCATTTTTTTAAAAAAATGAGGCATGGAAAATAAAGCGTTTTTACTGAAATATCATGATTTTAAGCTTAAATTTGGTTAATTAAAGCTTGAATAGTTACACATGAATAGTTCAAGGACCATCAGAGAGTTTAAAACTCAGTTATTCTTTTTGCTTTAACTCTTTATGATTCTGATAAGTGGTGTAAATTTGAGTTTTTAAGTTTGGAAGATTGAAATTCAACTACCAAACAGAGTTTAAAGCCTATTTCAGCTGTTTATCTGTGTTATTATGGTAGAAATAAAGGTGACACTAAAGGAAACTGTGACAAACAGCAGGGGTGTGACGTCTAACCTCGGTCTAACCTGCCCTGACAGGAGTACCTGGACCTGTCGGTGCCCTTCGAGCAGTACTCGCCCACCTGTCAGGACTCCAACAGCACCTGCTCCTCGGGGGACGACTCGGTGTTCGCCCACGACCCGCTGCCCGAGGAGCCCTGTCTTCCCAAACAGCTGCCCAGCAACGGGGCGATTCGGACGTAGAGCCGCCGGAGGGACGCTGACGGATCGACCTCTGAGCGACTCGAGCACCGCCGCCGCCACACCCGGACAAACTCAGCATGCAATACTTCCTTCAGCTCCTCGACTCGTCTTAAACTCTCCCCTCAAAGACTCCTTAAACGTTGAAGGATTATTTTTTTGTTCTCCTTTTCAGAAAAAATTCTATTTTTGTACTCGGGCCAGTCTTTTGTTACGGACAATCTGTGGGGTGAAACCATTCCGTGCCTACTGGGATTTTAAAAAACAAAAACCTCCTGACTGAATGAAACAAGGATGTAAAGGGGGAGGAAATGAAGGGCATTGATGATGAGCGACTGATTGGCGATCCAGTAGGCGGGCGACTTTTTTGTTTGTTTTTTAAATCCTCGGAGCCCTGAAAGTTCGCGAGAAAAACCAACCAGCAGACGCCAGAATCGACTCGATGACGGGACTCATTCTTCCAAGACAGGATGGCGTGTTTTTACTCCCGCGTGTTTGTATCGTCGCATTTTAGCATCCGGCTTTTTGTGATAATCATGGAACAGATTCCTCATCGCGTGAGGCGACGCTTCAGGGCCGTTCAGTAATAAGAACAGTGAGATTCGGAGGTTGTTTTTTTTTTAATGTATCTAGAAAGTGATTTATTGTAAATATATAAATGCAAATATGTATGATATTGCTGTCCACAGCCATGTACTTAAAAGACAAAAAACTACATTTTTTTTTTAAGATATTTGTTTTAGGATGGAAGCGTCGCAGTCTAGAAGACACTGTCATGATGTGTAAAACATTTAATCAGAAAAAAGGTTTATTTGAATAATTAACGTGTATATTTGTAAAGATATTTATAGACTTAACATGTGGTTCTTAAGTTCGAAAGGTCTAGTTTAGGATTTTAGTACTGTACGCAAAGATTTTTATTTCTTTTTTTTGTTGTTGTTTTGTTTTTTTTGGTAACTTATTTTACAACCGTTATTTTCACAACTCCTCTGGTTTTTCGATCCATCTTTTTATTATTGGTTTGTTTACAGTTTAAAACAAAAAAAAACAAAAGAGAGAGAGAGAATAAGAATGTACGACAGGCGATTTACGATTGGAGTTCAAATTCTGGTGTGGAATAAGTTTGCAATACGATGGCAACGGTTAGCTCTTGCTGGGCAAGAAAACGCAGCGCTTCAAGATACCAGAGAGACCTTCTAGTGCGACTGAAGTACTTTAACGCGTGTTGAACGTCACGAACAACGACTAGCTGTGAATCAGGAGAAGCCTTCAGGGAACCTCGGCAGCGTTTTTAAGGAAAAATCCTCCTATTTTGACTGTTTTCCAACGTTTTCGAATAATAGAAAAGTTAGTGAATGAGCCATTTCAGGTAGATTTTAATGGTGAACTACAGTTCCCAGCATGCCTTTCTGCACTTATCAGCTATAATGTGCTCGTGGCATTAAGAAAAATGTGAAAATATGCTAAAGAACAAGTGGTTTTAATGGCTAAAGAACAAACTAAGAACATTTTAAAATGCATTTCTCTATTGCCCCAAACTTGCTCCATGTTTTTGCCGCAATGCATTCTGGGCTTTGGAGTCCAGTTAGAACGCAGAACTTGCTCTTCTGGCCACTTTAAGGATGGATCTACACTGTAAAAAGAAAAGAAGAAGTCGATGTTTTTAACCGTTTTTAACTGTAATCATGTGAAAAATGATCTGTTGGTTGACAGATTTTCTCTGTTTTGTTGAATTATAGATAATAATTCATAAATTCACAGGAAAAAAAGTATTAATTAACATGTTAACTGTAAAAACAAAATTTTAAACAAAGTCTACATCAAAAATCTGTATTTTTACAGCAGTTGACTGTAAAATTAGACTATTTTTGACTTAATTTAACCAGAAAAAAATTATTTCACAGTTGTTTTCCACTTTTTTTGGAAGAAAAGTATGTATATTTCGGACAGAAAACTTGTGAATTTTTTTTAAAAACTGAATTATTATATTACTCGTAAAATCCCATTAAAAAAGTATTAATTTACAGATAAACTATAAAAAATATTCACAACAAAAATGTGTGTTTTTAACGTTTGACCATGAAATCACACAACTTTTACTGTACTTCAGCTAAAACTATCATTATTTACAGATTTTTGCCGTTATTTTGTACTATTTTTAAAGTTTTTAAACATTACCGTATTCCAACATTTTTTTTTAATATCATTTTTGTCACACTTTTCAGTTTATTTACTTTTTTTTTTTTTTTGCAGTGTAGAAATAAGCTCTTGCTCTTTAATTCTGAACCGAAAAATCTGATTTAAAAAAACTCACAAAAAGCACCCAGTTGCTCCACTTAAACCTCCAGCAGCTGCTTTTCTTTTTCCTCTCTTTAAATTAAACAGTTAAAGGTGGATTTTTTCTTAAAAGCGCTTCTGAAGGCTTCGGTCTCTAAACTCTTAAAGGTCACAGGGTCGACGCGAACGGACGAAACGTGCTCGAGCGACACACCGAGCACTTGCACTCACAGACGTACAATAAAAATAAATTTAAAAAAAAAAAACATCAGCTGGAAGGCAGAAATGTAAAAGCTGTTTGTGCTTGAGTGAAACAAAAAAAAAAACAAAAAAAACAAAAAGAAACCTGCCCGGATGCTTGAGATGTTATCGCTGCTCTTATAGTATTAATACTGAAAATGAAGGCAAAGCTGCGCGACTCACACGTCAAACGGCGAAAAAAGAAAATATATATACAGTTTATATATAAATATATATAAATATATCGGTTTGTTAAAAGGAGACTCTGAAGTGTGCGGTGGGTTCAAGTTTGCTGAGAAAAAAAAAAGTGCCAAATTAGTCTTATTTGAGTTCTCCAGATATCCGGACGCTGCACTGTTCAATGTAGGTGTGCAGCAAAGGATCATGGGATTTGCCAAATGGATTATCTCCACCTTTTACTTTTTGTTTTTTATGACATGCAGTCGTCTCTCTAGCTGACTCCCCAAATAAATAACAACAAAAATGTTTACAGAGTCTGTTTTTTTAAAAGTCGCAAAAAGGGAAGAAAAAAAAAACAATATTAACGTTCAGAAAGTCATTCGCTGCTAAATGATGATAAAATCCGTTTGGTTCCTCTGCAACGGCCTTAACTGAGAAATCACTTAACAAAATCACCGCCCTGCTGTTTAAAGTACTTAAACGTGTGACGATTTGTGTTTCAATCTGTTGCTACGCTGGTGGATTTTTAATTAGCGGTTTATGTGCAGAATCAAGGCCTTTGGAAAGTAAACAAAAATATAAATAAAGTTATTGGAGGTTTTTTAAGTTACAGTTTTGGCCCCAAAATCTAACAAAGTGCCTGGAGGGTCATTTATAGCGAACAGCAAAAGGAGATCAGATCATCTTTGAATGTATAATTGTAAAGAAAGAAAAAAAGCATTTAGATTCTAGAAGCAGGTTATGCAAATTTTAGCCTGATTTTATTTTTTTTTTTTAAAGTGAACAAAACAGACGAAAAAGAAAAAAAAAAAGAAGAGGCACTTCTGCAAAAGGTTGGATGGATCTAATGAAACGGATGCTGTTTTGGTTTTATTTATTCTTCCATGCTGGGTAAAAGCTTTCCCTATGGTGAGAGTGTTTTTACTCAGAGCTGTCTGCTTTTTTTTTTTTTCAGTGTTTTTCATTTAAGAGCCAGAAGAAGAAGAAGAAGAAAATGATGATGATGATGATGATGATGATGATGATGATGATGATGATGATGTAGAGTAGTAATCTGACTAGATGCGCTTTGCTCCTGGCATAGTTTATCCTCTTATTATTTTATTTTATTTGCTGTCTCCTTGTCCAGCTCTCCCCGTCTCTCTCTCTGTTGTTCTGTCTTGTTGTTTTTAACATGTGGCAGCAGCAAAAGTTGACATTTTATTTTGAAAATCCTGACTTTTGATCATTTCTTCTGAATTAAATAACACATTTAAGTGAAGAGGTTCGGTTCTGAGGCTGTTTTCACTGTCGCAGAAATTTTAAAAAATCAACACTGATTTATTTGCAAAAAAAAAAAAAGCAAGTTGCGTTAAAAACAACAAAGCTATTTAAGAGTGTTTTCTTAGCTGGATATATTTAAGAGGAGGGCTTCTTACTGTATGTACAGTTGACCTGGAACCAGCTGTGGTCGGATTCGTTTATTTATTCTGTGTTTTATTCGCCCTCCGGATAATCAGGATCCAGATCTTTCCCTCCAGATTTATCAAAAATTATTCTTTTTTTGCATATTATATTTAATTTCCTGCTCGACTCTACTTCTCATTGACTCTAACCGGTCGGTCCTGATTAATTTACAGCTTGACCTGTAGCTTTTACGCGGCTGTTTTCCTTTTTTGCATTCCACATCCGGCTTGTTGCAGCAACAGCGAGACAGAAACCCCAGTTTTTCTTTTAATTTATTTTTCTTCCCTCTGTGCTCTAACATAGAAAGGTGGAACTAACCATTTGGCATTATGTGACTTTTGTTTGTGTTTTTGTTTGTAATTCATAGCTTGTTTGTTGCGATGTTTTTGATCATGATGAATCCTCTGTAACATTCCACCACAACAACAACAACAACAACAACAACAACAGCCCCTCTGGGCAAACTCCTCCCGCTGGGATTCGAAAGAGAAAAAAAAAACGCAACAAAAAAACCCCGACTATTTCACGACTTTCTCTTCCTCTACGTCTCTCTCTCAGTCTCTCTCTTTCTCTCTGTGCCTGACAAACTATGCCTGTCAACAAAAGGTTTTCAATAAACATGTTATAATAGCGATTGCTGTCGGCCCCGTCTCTGTCACTTTGCAGCGCAGATGTTCTCCTGTGGCAAAAAAAAACTGATCTGCATGATTCAGGGTGAATGAATCAGAAGCTTTGGAAGGTATGGTAATGAGCTGAAACCAAAATACCACACGGAAAACAGTGAAATAAGAC